CCCTGCCTCTGTCTCTATCACTCTGACTTTCAAGTAAATGAAAGGATATTGAAAAAAAAATTATTTGGGGCAAAGATTTCAAAAATCCATTTATATCTGGGATCCTCAAAAAGCTTATGGAAAGTGTGTAGCATGTATTTCCATTTTTGCACCAAGATATATTTTAATATCATTTTGCATGATCTTTACTTACAGATTTATTTGAAAGACACAATGACACAAATGAACGCACTCAGGTCGTCCATCCGCTGGTTCACTTCCCCAATGCATACAATAGCCAGGAGCTTGGTACGCCATCCAAGTCTCTCATGTAGGGACGCAACAATCTGGACCATCAGCTGGATCAAAAGCAGGGGAGACAGGGCTTAAACTGGCACTCCAATATGGGCTGCAGGCATCTCAAGCCACGGTTAGCCTGCTGGGCCACAGCGCCCACACCCCCACGACTTTCTGAAGCACCCTCATCTATGAGAACAAATCCCTTGCTCATTTCTCTTGTGTTTTTTTTTTTTTTTCCCAATAGCATTTCTCCTTAGAAGCTTTGAATATCTACCTGTAGAATTCTTTAGCTTGTTGTTACCTACCTAGGTGTGGGTTTAGTTATCTTTATTTATTTTCATTGCATTTCAAAGGCAGAGAGACAGAGACCTTCCATCTGCCTGGGCCGGGCCAGACTGAAGCCAGGGGCCAGGAACTTAATCTGAATCTCTCACATTGGTGGTAGGGTCCCAACTGCTTAAACCATCTTCTGCTGCCTCCCAGGATGCATGAGCAGGAAACTAGAGTGAAAGTGGAGTAACTGGGTCTTGAACAGGTACTCTGATTAGGGACATGTGGTTTTAGTTTAAGTGGCAGCTTAACCCACTGCACTACAACATCTCACCCTTGGATTTATTTTTACTTATTCTGTTCAAAGCACTGAAGATTCATTTATTTCTTCAAGTCTAGAATATTATTAGCCATTAAGACGTGAAATATTGTCTCTTCTTACTCTGTACTCTTCCCCTGGAATTTCTAATTAGGCATATCTATTTGAGATTTCATCAATTGTAAAATGTATTGTTATTTTATGTAGCATAGCACAAGAAAGAAAATAGCATCTTTAAATGATCATATAATACTTTGTTGATTAGACTTTCTATTTTATAATTGTAAAATATCTTTGTGGATGTTAAACACATTTTTATCCTATATTACTCTTGTGCATATATTAAAAAATATATAAACAAAATCGAGTTAGGCATTCCTACTATTTCTCCACCTTCAGAGTTTCCTACTCAGTTGCTGACATTGCTGCTTTTCCATATAATGCCGTCTTCTGTCTGCTTAAGCGCTGTGTTGATGATGCAGTGTTTCTCAAGGCTGCTCCTCTATTGTGTCTGGAATTTTCTCCCAAGCCTTGTAAGCTTCGACGCTGGCACTTTCTTGCTTTATGAGTGGATTTCCTTTCTCACCCATCTTAGCGCAAAAACATAATCCAGTCTCATCTGTTTGGGGATATTTCCCTTTTTGGGGTCTGTTATAGTTTCAGCTTCCCTGAAAAAGATTTTTTTTTTGCTTCACTAATAACAAATGTTTAAGTTCTGCTACTCATTTTCAGAGTGCTACTCTTTGCTTACCTAATAGCATTTTGATTTAATGCTAAATCAGAGTGTAATCAGTTTGAAAACATTTTAAATGGCAGTTAAATTCCTCCCATGTAAGAATGTTTCCTACAGAATTATTAATAATTCTCATAAAATTGGAAGCTTTCAAGTCTAGCAAAATTCGCCTTTGGAAGGTAAATTATAGTAAATCTGTAAGACAGAATGCTACATGACTTTTAAAATAGCGCTTCATGGGGTGCAGCGGGCTAATGCTCTGGCCTGAAGTGCCGGCCTCCAATATGGGCGCTGGTTCAGGTCCCAGCTGCTCCTCTTCCGATTCAGCTCTCTGCTATGGCCTGGGATAGCAGAAGATGCCCCAAGTCCTTGGGCCCCTGCACCCGGAAGAAGCTCCTGGCTCCTGGCTTAGGATCAGTGCAGCTTCTGCTGTTGTGGCCATCTGGGGAGTGAACCAGCAGATGGAAGACCTCTCTCTCTGTCTCTAAACTCTCTCTGTAACTCTGTCTTTGTTATATCTTAGACACATTTGGGAAAATTAAGAAAAAAAAAAAGAGAAGAAGAAGAAACTTATCCCCACTCAGGCCTCATCTCCAGAAATTCTTCTTTGATTATTCTGGTGGGTTCTCTCCATTAGCATACCTTAGAAGCTGCCCAGATAATGCTAATGAGCAATCAGGACTGAGACCTGAGACACACTCTCACAGCGTGTGTGATTAATAGTTCTGCTTATAGCCACTTGTGCCCTCATGGAGACTATTAATGCTTTGAAAAAAGACCTTTGCTTGTTAGAGGATACTGACATAGTTTAGATGGAATGACTAATGATGTAAAAAGTAAGTTCACAGGAGTGCAGCTTTACATTATTTGGAGTTTACAAATTTTGACAATTCCGCATATTCCAGTCCCAATTCTATTTTGTTTGTCATCTTATGAAACTGAGTCAGAAGAGAACATTTGTCAGACTAAGAAGTAGAAAGGCAAATGAGGGATAAACCTGTTTTTGACAGTCCTTTAACAAATTTATTCCTTTTTTGTTTAAAGAATTGCTCATTGACAATTCTCTAAAGAAGGGAAATGACTATTCAGGGAATTGAAGAATTTTCATGCCATTTGTACTGTTTACTGCAGTTTTCAAGGATCAAGATGAGGGGCAGTGTTTTAATTATAGAATAATAATTGCAGCAATAGCTGCCTGCTTAGAACCTGCAGTCAGCCTGCATATTCTAGGGGACTAGGAATCCCACGTTAATGACCTCTGTTAACCAACATAGCATCTAAAACCAATGGAACCAACTAAGGAGTGTAACGAAAAGAAATTGCTGTCCCAACCCTGGAAGAAATGATCCTAGAAGACAGTTCACATAAGGAGCAACAGGGAAGATCAGGTAGACAGGAGGTGCAAAGTGATGGAAAGCAACAAAATTCTTATTTGGGCAAGAGGTGGAGGGAGATTTTAAGATTTCATTCTACAGTTGAGGGAAAGGTCTTAGAGCTGTCCTAAAAGCCCATCAGCATCAGCATGGCTTTCAGACATGTCTGAGTACCTGATCCCTGCTCTTCAGACACTGACTTCCGGGATGTACTTGTTCTGAACTCTGCCTGGGAGGGCTGAGCATGAGGAAGGTCACCACGGGTCTGTTTGAGGTCATTGTCCTTCGTGGCAATCACACAGGCATTCTGACATTGGTTTAGGCTGGGTTTGAAAGGAGACAGCTGAGCTTCTGAAACGGCTCTCAGGCTCACTCACTCCCATGTGAGCTTTCACAGTGAGGTGCGGCTCTGGCCACTAACACCTCCACCTGTTCCAGAAGATGAACTTTCAGGGCCTGCAGCTGATAAACCTTGAAGCTTCATTTACTCAAGAGGCGACCTGGGGGCTGGTGATGTGGCATAGTGGATAAAGCTGCCGCCTGCAGTGTCCGGCTGCTTCACTTCTGATCCAGCTCTCTGCTATGGCCTGGGAAAGCAGTAGAAGATGGCCCAAGTGCTTGGGCCCCTGCACCCATGTGGGAGACCTGGAAGAAGCTCCTGACTCCTGGCTTTGGATAGGCACAGCTCTGGCCATTGCAGCCATCTGGAGAGTGAAACATCAGATGGAACACCTTTCTCCCTCTCTCACTCAGCCTCTGCCTGTCTGAAACTCTTCCTTTCAAATAAAATAAATCTTAAAAAGCCAACTGCTCTCCAGGTCAGGAAGTGATCACTGACATTGGTCAAAGTGGTGGTCACAGGGTTTTCAGATTAAAGGAGTTTTCAAATTACCATCAGTATGTTGTTTACTTTTATCAATAATGAAAGACCATGTAGGACTCAAAAAGCAAACTTTCTTGTAATAAATTATGGCCCAAAGGGAGTGGTATCTTTCAAAACAAAACAAAACTGAAGTGTTTGGGCAATGTCGTTAAATAGGAAACAGGGTTCAGAGTTCAGTGCTCCTTCCAATCTATTTAGACTGTTACGGGAACATGCAAACATGCTCCTATAGAAATCAGGAATATCTGATGCCCTTCTCGAAATTCTCACTCCTTTCCCCAAAACGCACAGCTTGGGCCAAAACTGGTGATAGGAACTAGCAACCCCTCTGTGTGCAGATGTCTCTCTGTGTTAGACTCCAACATGGTGAAGGGTAGTTATCCTAACTTTGCATCCCTGACGCGGCAGTGAATCGGAGGCACTGAAGGCAGTGCTGGAACAGAGGCAGCCGTGAGTCCGGGCAGGCCACAGGCAGTACAGGACAGTAAGCAGGTTAAAGGGGGAGCTCGCTGATAGATATCTCCGCGTCCGGATTCCTGTTAGCTCGTTGCTGCCTAGCCGTGGGGCTGTAAGCGAAGTCACTTTCCCCTTAGGAGCTTCACACCCATTCAACAAGCACTTGGGACGTGTACTAGAGCAACTAAACAACCAAAGCTACGCCTCCGCTCCGCGCCTAACGCACAATCGGCGCTCCGTGCGTGATTGCTGGAGACCGCTTGGCGAAGCCACGCAGTCCCAAGTTTCCTTATCACGTGATTCCCTTCTCCTAGGCAGGCTGGCCGACCTGGGCTCTCCAATTAAGGCCGCACAAATGTCCACAGGTGTGAAAAGCAAGAGCCCTGGCCACTGAAGACCCGAAGCCGAGGGCCATGAGTACCAAGCGCGCGAGAGCCCTGGGCAGCGCCTCTAGCCCTCAGCAACCCGTTACCTTCCGGACCCCGGGCGTCCCGCCAGTCTACCACGGTCAAGAGGCAGCTCCCATTGGTTGATCTCGCTCGGAAACGCACGCCTCTTCCCGCCCCCTCACGCTGCCACCCAACGCTCGCCTCTCCGCTCCGCTCGGCTCCGCCCCTCAGCCCTGCCTCCCTGGCATATTCGCACCATTGGTGGATCTCGCCGGCTGTGATGGCGGCAGTGCGCGTGCGCGCTCGCTCCGAACCCTCTTCCCGGGAGGAGGAGCGAGCCAGCCGGGGCTGGGGCAGGCAGACCGTGCTCGGCCGGAGTGGAAGGGCTGCTGCTGGTGCGGCGGCGACGGTGCTGGGCGGGGCCGAGCTCCGGAGCTGTCGGCTCGGCTGTGGAGGGGCCTGTGAACCGCTGCGGAGCTGTAGAGCGCCGGGGCTGGACTGGGCCGGCCGAGAGAGTCCGCGCGCGCCCGCTCTGAGCTGCCCGCTCCGGCGGCCGCGCTGCTCACCAGCATGACGGAGCTGAGGCAGAGGGTGGCCCGCGAGCCGGACTCAGTTCCCGAGGACAAGGTAGCGGCAGCGTTGTGGTGGGCGCGGCCGGGCCGCGGCGGCCCCCGGTGGCCCAGCGTGGGGCGCGCACCTAGGAGTCGCCTCGCTGACCCTTTTGTCGCGGCCGGCGGCGGCCCCGGGCCTGGGCAGCGCAGAGGGTCCTCGGGGCCCCCGCGCGTCGCGGGTCAGCGGACCGGGGCCCGGGACAGGGCTCCGAGTCTACCTGGGGGGCGCAGGAAGGAGCACGCCGGGGTTGCGAGCAAGGCGGCTCCCTCGCAGGGCCGGTCGGGGTCCCTTAGCTCCCCGAGGCCTTCCTGGGAGGCGCGACTTAGTCTCTGCGCCCCCTGTAACATGTTATGTATTTATTTTGAGGCTGAGGGAGTCAAGACAAGGCCACAGGGCATTGCCTCCTGGGAGATCGAAATCTCTCCCGGGGAGTAAAAATCCGTTGGCTTTGAGCAGAGAGGTGTGTTGATTCACGCCGTGGAGCGGCTCGGCGGTCAGCAGGTGTTGCAGGGTGCACCTGGCCAGGCTTGTTTGCTGCGCCAAGCGTGGGCACTGATGGGGTAGAGGAGAAAGGTAAGGAGGAGGCCATCTTGGCGGGGACACAGGTTGTGAGGCGGGGTGAGGATGGGGAGCGGACTCCTCTCGTTTAGGGGGAAGGTGGGCAGGGGCTGACATTCTGTGGACGCTGGATGGCAGCGGAAGGGTTGGGACTTGGCGGTCGGATTGGTGCTTTTGTAGTTAGCAGTGTATTTGGAAGTTGATCTTGCCCTGGTGTGTGGAATACACTGAGGGAGCCTGGGCTAGGGTGATGGGGGCTGGTTAACGCTGGGGGGTTGCCCACAGATGATGTTTTGTCTTAAAAATCAGAAGATCCTCCCAACACTGAATTTCTTACCTGCCTTGGGTAATTGGAGGGTCTGGCATCGCATTCTCACTTGAGCAGCAGTGGGCTGGACCTGCGATCATTATTGCACTGTCCCTGTTGCCTTATACCAGACCCACAGCACCGACTTCTGTGGCCTGTACTTAGATCACTAGAAGAAAGGGGCATTAGGGAGACTTCAGGAAGCAAGCAGTGGCACCATGTGGTGATGGATGTCAACAGAGCAGTTATGGTTGGAAAAATGCTGTTTCAGATAGTTTTTTTTTTTTAAAGATTTATTTAGTTATTTGAAAGGCAGATTCGCAGAGAGACAGAGGGGTCTTCCTTCTGCTGGTTCATTCCCCAAATGGCCCCTGGAGCCAGGAGCTTCTTCCTGGTCTCCCATGGGGTGCAGGGGATCAAGGACTTGGGGCCGTCTTCCACTGCTTTCCCAGGCCATAGCAGAGAGCGGGATCAGAAGTGGAGCAGCTGGGACTTGAACCGGTGCCCATAAGGGATGCTGGCACTGCAGGCAGCTGCTTAACCCACTATGCCACAGCACTGGCTCCAATAGTTTTTTTTTATTTATTATTTATTTTTATTTTTTTGACAGGCAGACAGTGAGAGAGACAGAGAGAAAGGTCTTCCTTTGCCGTTGGTTCACCCTCCAATGGCTGCCGCGGCCGGCGCGCCGCGCTGATCCGATGGCAGGAGCCAGGTACTTATCCTGGTCTCCCATGGGGTGCAGGGCCCAAGCACCTAGACCATCCTCCACTGCACTCCCTGGCCACAACAGAGAGCTGGCCTGGAAGAGGGGCAACCGGGACAGAATCCGGTGCCCCGACCGGGACTAGAACCTGGTGTGCCTGCGCCGCAAGGCGGAGGATTAGCCTAGTGAGCCGTGGCACCGGCCTCCAATAGGTTTTAAACACCTTTTTTGTTTTTGCTGTTGAAGGTGGTTCATTCGGGAGAACCGTCCATATTTTTTAGAACATTTTGAAGAAGATACAGGGCTGGGAGTGCAAATTTAGGAGTCTGTTGTAGTGATGAGGCTGCTTTGAAATTTCTCCTCTTGCCCTGGAATGTCTTGGTTCCTCTTGAAAGAACTCCCTGCTCATTCTGCGTAGCTGGTGAGAGTTCAGCTCTCTGAAGGGCGCTGTCATACTTGATGTTAATGGAACCTGATGGGCTAGAAGGTGTGAGGAAGGAGAAAGAAGGTATGATAGCTGGTGGGCCGCATTTTTGAAAAGCTAGCTGTAATTATTAAACCTGGTTAGAAAAAAGTACCAAGTAAGAACAACCTCAGGATTCTAAGGTGAAGCAAAGTTTTTAGCCCCCCAAGATAAAGTGTCAGTGATTCCTGCTTTCCTGTCCTGTGTTTTAGGTAGGGCTGGAGGAGCTGTCCAGCTAACGGTGCTTTATTAGAACTGCATTTACACTGTGTATGCAATTCTGTGACAGGATGCCTGAGGCTGTGAGGACTACTAGTTGCATGTCGTTACCTAAAATATAGCAGCTATGCATTCTATTAAGAACATGGTAAGAGAGGCCAGTGTTGTGGTGTAGCGGGTAAAGCAACCGACAGCAATGCCCGCATCCTGTGTGGGCACCAGTTAGAGTCTGGGCTGTTCAACTTCTGATCCAGCTCCCTGCTAATGGCCTGTGAAAAGCAGCAGGGAATGGCCTAAGTGTTTGGGCCACTGCCACCTCCATGGGAAACCTGGAAGAAGCTCCTGGCTTTGGGCTAGCTCAGCGCTGAGATTATGGCCATCTGGGGAGTGAACCAATGGATGGAAGATCTTTAACTCTTCTCTCTCTGTAACTCTGCCTTTCAAATAAATCTTAAAAACAAAAACAAAAAACACTAAAATTGGGGCCGGTGCTGTGGTGCAGTAGGTTAATCCTCTGCCTGCGGCGCCAGCATCACATATGGGCACCAGTTCTAGTCCCGGCTGCTCTTCTTCCAGTCCAGCTCTCTGCTGTGACCTGGGAAGGCAGTGGAAGATGACCCAAGTGCTTGGGCCCCTGCACCCACGTAGGAGACCCAGAAGAAACTCCTGGCTTCAGATCAGCTCACCACTGGCTGTTGTGGCCATTTGGGGAGTGAACCAGTAGATGGAAGATCTCTCTCTGCTTTTGCCTCTCTGTAACTCTGCCCTTCAAATATAAATATTTTAAAATAAATAAAATGTAGTCACAGGGAAAGAGGGAGAAACAGATTCACTATCTGCTGGCGCATTCCCCAGATGACCACAGAGTCCAGGAGCCAGCAGCTTTATCTGGGTCTCCCACATGAGAGGCAGGGGCCTATGCACTTGGGCCATTCTCCAGTGCTTTCCCAGGCATGTTAGGAGGAAGCTGGACCAAAAGTATAGCATCCATGCCTATGTGGGATATCAGTGTTGCAGGAGGTGGTTTAACCCACCATGCCACAATGCCAGCTGCAATAATTAAAATTTCAAAAAGTCCAGTTTTATTCTGTTTTATAATCTGGGGGGGAGAACCTACTTCCATAATTTTGTCTTTTCTAATATCCTTGTGTTGGAATCATAGGATAGTAGAAATAACAAAACAACGATGTCTTTTTAGGGAAATGAATTGTGAAATAGGAACTTATTTCATTGTAGAAGAATCTCAAAACAATTTTAGGTCAGTTCTTTAAAAGATCTGTAACACAGTTGAAAGATTCCTGAAAATGTTAGTTGCTTAACTGCTGTGGCAAACTTGTCTTGTCAATAGACAAGCATTGGTATCAAAATAATCTGGAGAATGTGTTTGTTTATAAAGGTCTGAAGGTATTTTAGCATTTAGTTATATTTAGCATCCTAGAATGGAATTTTCAAAGCCAATTTCTAATAAAGGAAATGTCCTCCTCTGGGAACTGTGCTTATAATTTTAAAGTCCCAATGCACAATAAGGTTGCCAAATTAAGAAACTTGGAATTTAAGCTTTGGGAATTGTTCTCTTCCTGCCCAACCATTCCCCACCACCACCAAAATGGAGCTTAGGAGAGAAAAGAATAAAACTTGGGCCAAAAGATTGGCATCTGAAGATTTAGGATTGGCTTGGGATTTCAGGAGATTTTGGTTTTGGAAGTTAGATTGAAGTTTCTGTGGTTTTCTGCTTTACTTAGATGCTGAGGTGCTATTTGAATGAGAGCTTTACTGGTTTCAAGGTTTCCTTTCTAGGTAGGTGAAACTGTTAGGGAAAGGAAATAGTGACATCATTTAGAAAGGGTAGTTTAACTTTTAACTGAAGATAGTGGTTAAGATCAGGGCCTTAAGAGTCAGCTAGATTCATTTGAGCTTGGGCTGTGCCACTTATCAACTCTGTAACTTGGAGCAAGTCCCTTAAGTTGTATAAGCCTCAATTTGTCCATCCCTGAGATGGGGTGATAAAATTGCTTGTGTGTGCTTCATAGCTTATATGTGTCTCATAATAAGTGCCTAGGGCACACCTTATCACAGTATAATGAGTTAGCTGTTGCTGCTACTGGTTAAAGTCAGTTTTTTTTTTTTTTTTTTTTTTTTTACAGGCTGAGTGGACAGTGAGAGAGAGACAGAGAGAAAGGTCTTCCTTTGCCGTTGGTTCACCCTCCAATGGCCGCTGCGGCCGGCGCATCGCACTGATCTGATGGCAGGAGCCAGGTACTTATCCTGGTCTCCCATGGGGTGCAGGGCCCAAGCACCTGGGCCATCCTCCACTGCACTCCCTGGCCACAGCAGAGAGCTGGCCTGGAAGAGGGGCAACCGGGACAGAATCCGGCGCCCCGACCGGGACTAGTGAGCCGCGGCGCCAGCCTGGTTAAAGTCGGTTTTTATAGGCAAAAGCTTTAGTATTCACCTTCTAGTCTTGGAAAGTGATAAAATCTTCAATTTTTTTAAAAAAATATTTATTTGAGAGGTAGAATCACAGAGAGAGGGAGAGACAGAGAGCAAGGTCTTCTATCTGCTGGTTCACTCCCCAAATAGCAACAGTGGCTAGAGCTGAGCTGATCTGAAGCTAGGAGCTTCTTTGAGGTCTCCCACATGGGTGCAGGGGCCCAAGCACTTTAGTTATCTTCCAGTGCTTTCCCAGGCCATAGCATAGAGCTGGAACGGAAGAGGAGCAGCTGGGACTAGAACTGGCACCCACAGGGATGTTGGCGCTGCAG